GTGGAGCGGGATCGTTTACAGACCCTCCTAGGAAGCAGAAGCGACCCGAGCAGACAAACACATCAAGGCCGGCATTCAGCCACCCACAGCGCCGCAGCACTACCGGTAGCAGAAGGGCCAGCAGTACCCAGCAGTCGTGGCAGTGGAGATAGTCGTGGTGGTCGTGCTGGCGGTAGTCGCAGTAGCAAGAGTTGAGCAGTAGCAGTAGCACAAGCGGTTGCAGTAGCAGTGGCAGTGGCCTTGGCAGTAGCAGCAGCAGTCGCAGCAGCAGCAGCAGCAGTAGCACAAGCGGTTGCAGTAGCAGTGGCAGTGGCAGTGGCAGTGGCCTTAGCAGTGGCAGTAGCAGTCGCCGCAGCAGCAGCAGCAGCAGCAGTAGCACAAGCGGTTGCAGTAGCAGTGGCAGTGACTGTGGCCTTAGCAGTAGCAGCAGCAGTCGCAGCAGTAGCAGTAGCAGTAGCAGTAGCATTGGCGGTGGCAGTGGCAGTGGCCTTAGCAGTAGCAGCAGCAGCAGCGGCAGCGGCAGCAGCAGCAGCAGCTGTAGCTGCAGACACAGCCGCAGCCGCAGGTGTATGCAAACGAGTGAGGGAGGAATTGAGCGAGTGAGCATGTAAGCAAGTAGGTGGTAGGCAGGCAGGCAAGCAAGCAAGTAAGGAAGTAAGGAAGTGATGACGTGAGGAAGCGGTTAAGGAAGTAAGTAGGTAAGTAGGAACAGTTGTATAATCGTAAGAACAACGAAGACGACTGAACCCTTGAATCCAAAGGTCGAGCCGTAGCTTTGCATGAGAGCCCAAAGCTTCCATCCACAGCCCGTAGCTCGGAAAAATCTTGGAGGTTTGGGTTCTCCCTCATCGTTCGAATGATCAAGCCAATCAGGCGACGCCTCAAACGAAACTCCGTGGTTTAGCCAAGAAGGCAGCTGGCCATGTCCGGCCATGAACTTTCGAAGCAGGCTGACATTCTCTACAGAGACAAACTGTGTTGCATCGCAGTGGTCCCTAGCCCTCAAGCTCGGACCAACTGCACATAGCCTCGACTTGCCTCCATCAGTTACGGGTCGAAATATGAATACATTCAACAAATCCAATCGGAGCCAACGCTTCTTTCAATGCAACAGTGGGTCGAAGGACACAGCGACCCGACCGCTGGAAAGACCCCAATGGTGCAGAGTGTAACCAACTGGTGGAAGAAGTCAATGTCAAAGCTGCCGAGATGAGTATCCGCCTTGAACGGCTGACACCCTGAGCCTTTCGAATACCGAATGCAACTTTGGGTTTCGGTATGCAACTTTGGGTTTCGGTTGGCTTGCCTGTGATTCCTTGCGATGTTTAGGTGGGTGACTTCATGGTTGGAGGTGCGAGAGCATTTTTTTCTCAGCTTCTGAGCCCGGCGGGATCCGAAGCCCGAGCTCAGCGTTGGAACAGTTCCGATATGTGGCTGCCATGGTTTGCAAGTCTCCTATGCTGGCCCCAAGCCTGGGGCACACCTGCTTTCATGGACTACGACTGTGCTGTAGTGAGCTCGCGAGCTCGAAGCATCATCGACTGGAACAAAGTGTACGAGCGTGTCCGAGCAAATTTATCTGAGAGGCCAGTCGAAACGAATTTCTCCTTTCCAAGCGGCTTGGAGTACTTGGTGGTCGAGACGGATCTCGAGACAGACGTGCCCAGATCCTACTCCATTCCTGAACGATCGCGCGAGGAATGCCCACTTGGGTCTCTGTGCCTGCTCATATTGTACTTCTACGAGCAGGTCGGTCAAGGCTACTGGGACGAAAGTGTACAAGATCTGATCCAAGGCCTCATCAAAAGCTATACTACGCTGGTCCTGGGCCTTACAAGGTGGCCCATCTTTTCAATTCTGGCACATTTCTCCAAGTTCTACTACACCGATGATCCGACGTTGACATGCGACAACCTCACAGAGGGTTTGATAAACTGGGTCGAGTGCAGACAGCTCGGTCGAGAATACTTCAAGTTGCTATACATGGAGGAATCTCTAGAGCGAAGTTCCGCGATAGACGCGTTGGCGCCAGAAATCTTGGACTGCGGGGATGAAGTTTCCAAAAGCCCAACTAGGGGGTTTGATGAGTGCCCCGTTGGCTATTTCTTTCTTCTGTCGATTGGACTGGTAAGCATATCTGGTGCTTTATCCATGACACGGGACGTGCCATCCTACGTGTCGATCACAAATCATGCGCTTTGGAACGTTCCTTTTCATGACATGTCCTGCTCACCTTGGCCTGTTTGGCATGTCATGGACTTGTTTTATGACATGAACAAGGGGTCGTGGTTCAGGCCCGGCGATCGCAAGTACAAGCGCTTGTACAGCGACTGGAATTTGAGAAATGACGAACTGTCCCCGCTGGTGTCTCCTCATGATGAATTCCTGTCACCAGACTGGACTGCAGCGGCTTCCAAGCAGGTAGAAAGCTTGGTCAGCATGGATCATGGTGGCTATGCAGAGGCCCTTCGTGTAGAGTCCAACCGTCGCGAAGACGAATGGGGACCTTTGAGGCCAATCGTCCGAAGCTTGATCCACACGGCGCAGGCCGTGGCAGCTGTGTCGGAAAGGAGAGGGCTAGCACGCAGGGTGGCATATGTGGTTTTGCTGCGGCTTGGATGCTTTCACAAACGAAACGCTTCTTGCACATCCAGCAGTAACAGAAAACCGTGCCAAAGCTGGTATGCCGTATGTCCGTACATTCCAGCTTTGAATGTGGGTGCGGGTATGACTCCTTGGACTGAAGAAGTGCACGCAGCAGGTACGCACATGAATAATTACGTGCATTCACACAATTGTGTCACACTTAGACATATTTAACCGAAGATCATGCCGACTTTGTTAAAGTTTTGTTTTCGAGCTTTCGTTGGCCGGATGTACCTTGGTTAAGCATAGACCGAGGTACGGCGGAGCTTGGGCTTACCTCTTGGAGCGGCTAGTGCGACATTTGTCCTCGCTGCGTGTTGTGTATCCTCTGGTTGTAATCGCCATCGGGCAAGATGCCGCCAATGCATGCCGGGAGCAGTCAGCTGGAGACCCATCGAATGCTCACACACCTGTGATTTGCTGGATGCCAGATACCCGGTCGCAGGTCCACCGGTTTACTTGTATCCATGCACTGCTGCATCTTGGCATCGATGTGATTTACACGGACATGGACACCTTCTGGCTGCGAGACCCGACTAAGCGAATATTGTCTTCAGCCGAAGGGTGGGATGCACTCTTTGCCCGCCATGCCGATGCAGACTGCATCAACATTGGCGTGTTCCATCTCCGTGCTTCAGCTACGACGGCCTTGTGGATGTCCCAATTTGTGGCCTGGTACTACGAGAACCCCTTGGAGATAGACCAGCGAGGCCTTCATCTGTTTTTGGGACTCCCTGCCGAGAAGATGTCAGTCAGTTTCTTGCCAAGCGACCTGGTGCAGATCCGGGGCTCCGTCCTAAATGACACGAATGAGGTTGTGATTGGAGATGTCGGTTGGGAGGGTTCCTTTTCCAGGATGCTCATCTTTCACTGGTGCCACCAACCTATAAAAGTGAAGGAGCCGGAGCTCAATGCAGCTTTCGACGCCTCTGACAACTTGTCGCCGCATAATCTGCCGGTTTCCCTGGCGCTTTCTGTGGTTTCAGCTGCTTCCGACACTCCTGCCGATGCACCATGGGCAGCAGTTCCGAAACTGCGCCGGATCCTGGAAGCCTACAGAACCACCCCGAAGCGACGCACGCCTTGCTGGTAAACAAAAAGACGCTGCGGCCGAGCTTCCTGGAGGTCATCATCAGCTGTTTTTGTTGTGGCTCCCAATGATTTTAAATGATCCTATTGAAGCGCTTGAGACAGTGATTGAATAACGGGGTCGTGTTCATGGTCGTGGTCTCGTCGTCATCGTTGTAGTCGTCGTCGTGGTGCGAGTCTTGGGTGCAGCCTTTCCAGGTTTGGTGATGGTGGCCCGAATTGCAGTTTAAGGGATTTGAACAAGCGAAGCTCCAGGGCTTAGAGTGGGGGGCGGGGTCAGGTACATACGCCGTTTGCACAAGAAGCATTAAGCATGTCAACTCCACTCCCCCACTGACCCAGCTGCCCACTCGCGAACGCGCGCATGCCATACTGCATGCACGCTCATATTCATGCACTTATTTTTTGTTCACTCTTTGGCTGCTTCGCGCATTCAGTTTGTCCACTCAACCACGCATGCAAGAGGCACTCGGCCCTGAGTAGGCAGCAAGGGCGGCTCAGGTCCTGTACACTCCGCCAGTTGGTGCTGTCATGTTCAATCGCAACACCACCAGCTCAAGCTTGCTGTTTTAGGTTGACCGTCTAACCATCTAGTTGTATTTCGCTTTTGGTCCTTTTATTTGGACTATATTGGCCTTGTTTCTGGTTGCAATCGCTATCAGCTTTAGAACAGCAAGATGGCAAACCGGCAGGACCAAGTGAACGTAGTAGTGAATCCGCAGCGGCGTGTGCTACACTTGTGCTGGGCACATGAGTGCAAATCTTGACATGCGGCTCTTGGTCTTAGTGATATGGCTAACTACCTGCGAACGGGATGCAAAGTGATAGTAATCACACGATGCTCACGATAACGATGGCCGGGTGTCACCAATGAGAACAATGTTGCCTTGTTGAGTAGGGTATCACCGGCTCACTATCGTCCCTATCGTTCGTTCACCATATCATAGACTTAACAGTTATAGTTATTATGCGAGGATACCGAATCTCCAGCCATTGTAGACTTCTTTATACTATAGTGTTGCTGTGGTAATATGAAGATTTCAACACCGATTGTTATTACCAGTTGTGATGCAGGCTGTAGCCCACAAGTCCTGCTGGCGATGCTTCAAGGCATGATGTTAGATTAAATGTATAGAGAAGCTTCGCGAAGTTGCGCCGCAGAACCCCCTTTGTTTCTGTTGACACATGCCGATGGCGGCACGAAAATCCGGCCGGCCAAGTGTGGCCAATTGAGCGGCGGATTAGCGCGAGACCTGACTTCTCAGGTCTCTCACCCATCACCCGACGGACTTGGCGCTCAACGCTGCGGTGGCTGCGGGCTCCAAGCTCAAATTGCTCTTAGCAAAAGACGGCGGTTCCCCAGGGCCCAAGATTGTGATCCTTTGCTTGCTAAGCTCGAGCGAGAGCCCTCTGCAATCCCAGGTATGTACCCTGACATGAACATCAGCTCACACCCCAAGACCCGACACTTCGTTTGGTAGGATTCAGTATCTCGCTCTCAACTTTTGGAACGCAGTGCCTGATGTGTCTGGTATTTTGTCGCTGGTGGGAACTCCGGTATCTGTCATGTATTCTTGGGGATGAGGCCCCGTCTTCTGTTCGATATCTTTTTCCGTTGCAAATGCCAAGCTACAGCTTGAGCCGCCGTCTGAACGAACGACGGTACAACACACAGCCGAGGTCAGCGCGGACATGCCTGGCGAATCTGCCTGGAACTGGTTCGAGGCCATGGGATTGCACTGTCGGATGTACATAGTGAACACGAGCGCTGTGGAGTAGAGGACCACAGAACGCGCCTCGGGGAGGGTCTGGCCAAAGCAAAGGGGCAGGGAGGAAGAGTGAAATCCTGAAATCCAGAATCTCAAAGCTGTCAGGTTCCACCACAAGGCCCGACACCGTGGCCTTAAATGCTGCCGCGAGCGCCCTGGCCTCGGGCTCACGCTGGCGCGAGGCGCGGTTATGGAGGGCGAGCGCCCTGAGCACCAGAGCGCCACGGTGATCGTGCAGGGCCTCTTGATGGCTACCGAAGTGGCTGAGACCACGGTGGTGACCTTGGGCGCTTCGGTGCGGGCCGGCCATGGCCTGAGCGGAGGCTCTTAGGAGATTTCGGGCAAGTTCAATATGCCTTATGGCTGCTCAGGGTTTAGCAGTTTCATGGTGAATGCTAAATTTTTCACTGACTGCGCATGCCTTTCCGTAGGACCTAGGAGGGTATGAGTCGACTGTTGTGGTTCTGCGGTTCTGCGTGATGTAGTTTTGTACATACATGCCCAAGGCGAGCAAACAGAGATGGAGAGATAGAGCGATCCATAACCATTTTGGCTCAAGTCTGGTTAGGTGGGAGGACGTGACAGATGGTCTCCGTGAACATGACAATGAGCCCGAGGACTACGACGGCGACTGCGCCGAGGACGTTGAGGGAGAGGACCTTCTCGAGGAGGACGAACTTCTCCTCGAGGACAGTGAGTAAGATGAGGAGAAGGCCTTGTTTATCAGGGCTTACCACTCGAGACCTTCAGAATCGCCGCAAGGAAAGAGGATTCATTCAGCATCGTGGACGCGGAGATTCCCGAGGGCGACCTAAAAGCAAGGGCCGCTGACGATCCTCAGGAGCTCCTCGCAGCCAACCTTCACGGTACAGCAAGATGATGAGAGGCTCCACAGATGACTTGTTGAGTCGTACGAGATGCCCCAACTGCAAGGAGATGGGGCATTACGCTCGGGATTTGAAAGGCTCTGGCAAGGGTTCCTCGAAGATTTCCTCGGCAACGTCGCCCAAGCAGGTCAGCTTTGTTGTGTGCCGAGGCAATGTTGACCAGACTGTGCAGCACACCTTCATGCAAGCACGAGGTTTGAGGCCCAGGCCCTTGATGTATGCAACGGTGTCGGTTAAGCCTGCCGACGCCCTCGTCGACACAGCTGCTGAAGATGCGGTTGTCGGTGACAGAGCTTTCGCAAAGATGACCCGTGAGCTGGCGCAGCATCGACTTCGGCCAATATGGCTCGCGGAAGGCAGCGGTCCTGCACCGTGCGCAGGCATCGGCGGCGCAGCAAACGCAGTCGGACAGGCGGACGTTCCCACTTCTGCTGCAGGTACTTTGGGAGTCATCCGCTTCACCGTCCTCCAGGACAGCGATGCCTTTCAGGCGCCGCCCTTGCTGCCGATATCGTACCTGGAGGCTTTCGGTGCCTATGGAACGCTTGCCTTCAGGTCACCGCGCAGTGCCGATCCTGGACTCTCCGTGGCAGCTTCCTTCGCAACTACAGGTCGCCGGCGGTGATCCATTCGCCATTTCCGGGACTTTGAAAACAACGGCATCGACTGCAGCATCTTCCGGATCTACCACGATGTCGGATCTTACAACAACGTTGGAGTCCATGAATGGTCGGGGAGCTCGGGTCCACGGCAAGTAGGCCAGGGACTTTGAAAACGACGGCATCCGCGGCATCTTCGGGATCTACCGCAACGTCGGGTCCCTTTAAAAATATGGTGTCCAGCTCGAGTGTCTCAGGGGTCCATGAATATTAATATGCAGTGTCCAGCTCGAGTGGGGTCTCTCAGAACAAGAGAGTCGTTTGAAGAGAGCGGATCAGCTGGCTCGCGAGTTCATGGAGTCCGGTCGCCTTGACTATGAGTCCGTCGAAGAGGTGGTGTCGCAGCTTCCAGTTGGAAAGCCATCGGCAATGCGAGGCATCATGCGCACCACCGAGGCCAAGAGTGAGACAGTGACTTTTGGGTTGTTTGCTCATGGTGCGATGAAAGGAGTCACCACAGCAGCGAAGAGATGAAGTACGTGTGCCAGTACTTGAATCGCTGGATCGCCACACTTGTGCCTGAGGACTTTCGCTAGACGTCGACATCAGTTGCTGTGCAGACCTCAGCACTCCCTCACCTAGACGCCCACAACGATGCTTCATCGTGCAACATGTCAGTTTCGGTTGGTCGCTTCTCGAAAGGAGAGTTGCTACAAGCCGACGCCAAGGAGCTTGAGAAGGTTACCTCGTCAGCGCCTAGAGGAACCCCGTCTTCTTCAGCCCTAAGAAGTATCATGTCACTATGTCATGGTCGGGTTTCCGGGTGTCAGTCACAGCCTTTACTGCTCGGAGTGTGCAAGCCATGAGTGATGGGACACGTGAACAGCTGTATCAGCTTGGCTTTCGTTGTGATGCGCTCAACAGTCACCCCAAGATGTATGTGTTGAGTGAGGGTGAAGAGCCAGGCCCAGAGAGCAGCTGTACCCGTGACTTTGAGCAGGTATTTGAAGACAAGCGAACTCGAACTCCCCGGGCAGCCGGTATGTTCAAGCGAATGCTTCGCCGAGCAGCAGTTTGGATCACAAATTCGAAGGGCCCTGTCCCCCGCAGCTATGTCCAGCCAACAAGCCCAGGCTCAAAAGATGGTCGCCCAGGAGGCCACCGACTTGGTGGATCAACGAGGTTTGGGAACGAAGAAGAGCCTGGAGAGTTAGAGACGGTTGGTGGTGCACAACCATATGGTGGTCGACCGTCTTATGAACCGCGAGGACATCGAGGAGGCCCCCGAGGAGACCACGCACAACCTCGCCACGATCAAGGAGAAGAAGAAGGCGGCGAAAGGCCCAATGGTGCAGGGGATTGGAGCTCCGCTGAGCAAGTCAACGGCTCACAAGAACTACCCCATGAAGACTGCGGAGGGCAATCGCCCTCCAGACGCCATGAGGTGCCGGGGCAATCAAACAACGAAATGGTGGGTGTGCGCTCGTTGCGGATCGCGATGGCATCGTCCGAACGAGAAGGAGCTGGAGAACGAGAAGGGCAAGCAGGTGGCGACCAACGAGGACGCCCCGAAGGTGACCGATCGTCGAGGACGAGAATATGCACAGTTCCTTCCAGCCCCTCGCGGACGCCGTCAACAAGGTGCTGGTGATGATATCGGCAAGGACGCCCTCAAACCAACCGAGAAAGCACGGCGCCATCGAGCACTGGTCATGTGCCTTCTTCCACAGCTCCTCTCGAAACGAGCCGAGTGAGATGGACTACGACCCGCTCAACGAGCCAAAACTCCGACGAGGACCACCATGCCAGAGACTCCCAGAGACCTACGCAGCTCAACACGGACAACGACGACTGGGGCGATGTGCCGATGATCAACCCCAACGAGCAGGACAAACCACGCGAGTCCTACTAGGCAGCGATCAACTGGAGGCAAGCCCGGCCAAGGAGATCGGAAGCCTCGCGCAAGCTGTGGGTCGGCGAGGAGGCAAGACGTGGACAGGTCTTGGAACAATGTTTGGTTCTCCCCTACGTTGGGAGTCGCAGACTAGCAGCTGGATAGGCCACGAACCAGATGAGCTACCCGAAGGTGAACGGGTGTGGTGTCATGTGTTTCCTCGACAACAGCTCCAACGAGACTGGTTGGCCGACGTGCACGGTGTGGTCTCGGCCCTCAGCGAGGATGACAACAGAACAATATTGTCTGCGTATGCCACCACAGCCGACGGTGGGCGAGATGACCGATCGCCTCAACAGCTAGCCAAGGCATTCGGTGGAGATTCCGCCGTGGCCCTGGACATGGCAGCAGGGTGGAACTACTACCAACCCGAAGACCGACAAGAAGCTCTCCGATTTTTACGACAGCACCGTCCCGCGCTTATTGCTTTGGCGGCAGGGCGCGACGAGGGGGACAAGTGAATATCATGCAGTCGGAGCAGCGCACCACTGTCGTCAGATTGGCCAAGGTACGGCCGCGGCTTCTATATGGAGTACCCGAAGGACAACCTTGCCGCCCGCGCACAGCCCTTGACTGCTCTGCGCGGACACCCCGCAGTTAAGGCCGTTGTGATCAATCTCAACCAGATGGGAGTTGGAGCAGCAATGACGGCCCAACCGGTGGCTCTACTGACCAATCGACCAGAGCTACTACAAGCGGCACAGAAGCGCAGCCAGGGCAGCGGCAGCAGGACAACTGAGAACCTGCTGGCCACAAGCTCCACTTCTCAAACGAGAGCTTCGGTGGTCAAGTTTGTGGACGTTTTCCTTGAAGGATTGCGGCCCCATCTTCGACTACGACATTTTCCATTGTTTCATGTCGGAGACAGATGGTTTTGGCAACATGGCCACCTCGTGTGTCGTCATTTTGCCCCTCGTCAACACTTGAGCCTTCCGGAGGAATGCCACTTCGAAACTACCAAGGTCAAGTTCACGGGCAAACGGACTACCCGCCAGGAACATCTTGGCGGCGCGTCCCGGGTCGTTGTTGATCAGCGGCCGACCGCAGGGGCGATTTCTTCGTCTGAGCGGTCAAACAATCTTTGAGCTTTTCGCGCCACGGCCGTCAATCTGGCCAAAACCGCGGCGCATGATTTCAGCAATACCAGTCTGAACAGCGTCAACTGCAAGCAGAGCTTAGCGCATTTCCTACGCGCCGCGCGGGATGCTCGTCGTCGTCAGCCTGCTACGAGTCCGGCGACTATGGACACCGACCTCGACTGGGACGATTTCTTGGCCGAGATCGAGGGTCCTGATGGCCGCTTTGTCAAGGACGACGACGAGTATGCGCAGGAAATGGAACCAGAGCGCAAGAAGGATGAAGAAAAGGTCAGCCGTGAACATTCGGGACATAATCATCAACGTGCCGAAGGATGAGTCAGAGAGGGAGCCGAGGACACAAACGATTCTGGCTCCCGATGTCACAAGAGGGAGATCTACCGAATTCACCGGAACCTTTGTCATCCGGAGAAGAGGAGTTTCTGCCGTGCACTCAAACATGCTGGAGTGCGGCAGGACATCCTGCGTTACGTCAAGGATGAGTTCGGCTGCCCAGTTTGCAGCCGACGTCGTCGACCACAATCACATCGCCCAGCGCACCTTACTCGCGAGATGGGATTTATCGAAGTTATTGGGATTGACCTGGTGTTCTTTCGCAAAAACGTGCTGCTGGACGTTCTGTGTTGGGGAACGAGCTACCAGTGGGTATAGAAGCCATCTCCGACAAACGGTCAGAGACGGTTACCCAGGCATTCATGACGTCCTGGGCGGGACACTATGGAGCACCAAAACTGATTGTCACCGATCAAGGGCGTGAATTCACAGGCCAGCCCTTCGTGGCCACGCTCTCGGAAGCAGGGATCGTCATACACAACTCATCGATGTGCGAGCCCCGTGGCAAAACTCGAGGACGGAGAAAGCAGGCGGAGTGTTCAAGGACAAGTTAGCCAAAGTGATCGACGAGGCCACGATTATCGATGGCGACGAGATGAAGATCGCCATTGCCGAGAAACTCTCTGGACACGGAACATGTACTATGACGGCAGCGGCTTCTCCCCTCACCAAAGAGTTTTTGGCTCCACTCCTCGAGTGCCTATGTCCATGCTGTCGGACGACGTGATCGACAAGGAGTTGGTGCTTGGAGGAGCTTCTGACGCAATGAAAAGGGCTTTCGACTGTAGACATCAGACAAAAGGCCCGAAGAGCGTGTGTGGAACAGCAGGACCAAGCTGCCCTTTCCCGAGCTGGGAAGGCGAATTCGGCGCATATCAACCCCGCCAAAACCGGAGACACAGTCTACGTATGGCGGGAAACGACGGACTTCCGTGGATGGTCAGGACCTGGAGTGATCGTCGCCGAGAGCGCCGACGGCAGGTCACCATGGGTGAGTGTGCGCGACTGCTTGCTGAAAGCTGCGCGCGAGCAAATCAGAAGAGCTACCACGGAAGAGCGCATGGGCGCCGAGCTGGTCAAGGTGATGTCACAGGAGATGCTGGAAGCAATTGAGTCCGGCACTTTCAAGAAATATTGTGATGTGGAGAAGGAAGGAGGACCTCCTGATGCAGGACTCACGTGTAGAGGCTTCGGGAGGAAGTGGCGCATCACGTTCTTCGTCACCTTGCTCCACCTCCATAGGTTCGCGAGCGACCGTTGTGCCCTCCACCAGTTCAGGAATTGAGGGCTCGTAGTCCCCCAAGTCTTCCTCCTCGACCCGAGCCAACCCGCCGGAGCTCATGGCGAGCCCTCCGAAGTTCTTTCAGGGCCCACGGCACTCTCATAACCACCATCCCGTCGACTCAGTGGAGTTCGCGTTGACGAAGGTTCGCGCGGGCCGTTTTATGGACTACGACATAGCGGTGCCAACCTCACGCGGCCGATGCCTTATCCGTTTTCCTCGACTACTCCATCGCTACCCGCGCCTCCAGGACCTTCTCACTACTTTGAGGTCTTGACGCCGGATGAGCAAGGAGCGCGAGAAGGAAACCCCAAAAAGAGACAAGAGTCGCCGAGCTCGAAAGTACTTTCAAGCCATAGCAAGCTCGGAGGAGAAGTTCGAGGCCAGGGATTCCATGGCTTTGTTCAATTTGCGCGACCGGCTCTCCTATCTGACCAAGAAGAAGGAGTCGCCTGGGCAAATCGTGTTCTCCGAGCTCAACGACACGGAGAAACAGATCTTCCGAAAGTCTCGGATTCCGGCGCCATCACGATACTCAGTGTCAAGGACAGCTTGCGATTCGCCAACGATCACCGCGACTTTGTGCTCACCTCGCGCGACGTGGATCGCTACAAGGCGGAGGACGGAGTCACCTTCCCGAATGACTTCGACGTGAACAACATCACGCCCGAGTGCGGAGCCAAGTTGGGTCCGAAAAGTCGCTGGTGCGTGGTAGGCTGGCGAGATTTTATGGTGCATGCCGTGGAACGCAGCGCTCCGACTCCGTTGACAATCAGCATGTACTTGTACATGCAACTATAGCAGCCACACGTCAATGGCCAGCCTGGGCCAAGGATGTGAAAACAGCCTTTTTGCAGGGCAAGCCTACGACACGCAAGCAGAAGCTCGCCTGTCGTATGCCAGCGGACGAAGCGTTCGAGGGCTGCGATGCTCGACAACTCATCTTGCTGGAGACGGAAGTCTACGGCCTTTGCTCGGGCCCCTCGTGGTGGCGGCGCTCTTTGTGCGAAATCCTGGTAAAGGAGCTGGGATACCGCATCAACGCCTACGACAAGTGCATGCTCACCCTCGACGGCATCCCTGAGGACGGCGACGAGGAGCTGAATGCCGAGAATGCAGTGTTTCGCGGCATCAAGAAGGACGGCCCGCCGCTACGCACACAAGGCATCATAGTCGTGGAGGTCGACGATCTGCTGGAAGCCGGTGGACCTCGACACCGGCAACTGATGGCACGTTTGGAGAAACGCATGAAGTCTGGCAAGGTGCAATGTTTGAGGGACCAGCCGGAAGGAACGTCCTATGCTGGTCGTCGAGTCTTTCAAGACAAAGATTGGGGATTCCGCTATACCATGGACGACTACATTGCACAATGATTGAAACCGGTGCGACTAGAGCGACGAGTCTTGAAGAAGGATGCCGAAAACGTGGCAGCGACCAAAGATGAGGAGGCTCAGTTGCGGGGCACCATTGCTTCGATCAGCTGGGTGGCTCGCGAAGGTCGTCCGGATGCGAGCTCTGCCTCCATCTTCGCAGGCTGCTTTCCTCAGGCTAAGGTTGCGGACATCTTCAAGGTGCACGAGGTTGTGTTCCGCCTCAAGAACCACCCGGCTGTCTTGCGCGTGCACGCTATACTTGAACACCGAGTTCGACACTTCGTCGTGGCGGACAGCCCCTTTGAAAACCGAGGTGTGGACAAAGCGCAACATGGATGGCTTCAAGGAGTCGCCACCCCGGATCTCAATGCTGGCAAGATGGCCGAAGTTAACCTTTTGGGCTGGCGCTCACGCCGTCTGCGGCGTAAGGCAGGAAACACCCTGCTTTGCGAGTCAATTTCGCTTTCGACAGCTTCGGGAGCTTTGGAGCACCAAGCAGCCATGTGGTTGTCGATCACAGCGTCACACTTCAACCCAAGGCTGCTGGCTCAAGACGAAGATGAAGAACTTTTACTCTACGGCGAGGGCACAGTCATCAGGTCCGAAGACATGCGGTACTCTGACCCACTGTATGTCGCGGTCGTAGATGCCAAGAGCCTCTACGATAGTGTGGTGGCCGACCAGTCCACCGGCGAGCACGGCAGGGCCGCGCTTGAGATCGCGATCATCAAGGACTCGATGGGCAAGCTCGAAGGTCGCCTGCGCTGGATACCTCACAACACCAACCCGAGTGACCGCTTGACAAAAGCCGTAGGGGCGCATGAGCAACCGCTTATGCAGTTTATGCAGACTGCTCGTTTCCAGATAGAAGCTGAAGACGAGGTTTCGGAAAAAGGCAAGCAAAATGCTGTACGCCTCAAGAGCAAAGTCTGAGCTCTGCCCACAAGATTTTGGGGGGCTGAGAGCACTGTTTCAGTTTCCATGGGCGGAGCGAACTTTCCTCAGACGAACCTGCCATTCTGCAGGCCTTGACTCTCGAATGTGCGGGCCCGCACCAAAGACTAGCTTTGCCGGTTAGTGATTTCACCTCAAATAGTTTCAAGACACGGACTTCGGCGTAGCGCGTGGGCGCAAGGGGGCGAGGGTCTAACTCGCACCCCACGCGCCCAGCAAGCAAGCAAGCCAGCCAGCCAG